AATGTGATCTCTAAGCCTAGATCATCTAAGCGCACAGTCCGAATAGTCGTTTCAAACTGAGTGTGTATGTCTGTGTGTGTGTATGTGTATGTGTATGTGTTTGTGTGTTTGTATTTGTGTGTCTGTCGGGTTAGTTGACTCAACTGTACTGCATTCGCTAACAGAGTTTGTTTATTTTAGCTGCCTGCTGTGAATGTTAAGCTGCATATGTTAAATAGTTCATTTTAACATTAGTTTTATTGTATATAAAAAAAATAAATACATATGCTTAAAAATAATAGAGGTGTTAGGTTTAGTTGTTGTCATTTTCCAAGCATTTAGATAAACAATTTTATTGTTTCAATTTTCCCAATAAATTATACTTTATTTATAAACTAAAGTTCCATCTAGGACCAATTCACAGTTCGGCAAAACTAATTCAAATGAGAAATCCATTTTAGTTTTAATACATAAACACGATTCACAAAATATTAAGAACAAATTATATATTCCAAAGTATATATGTATTTGTATATGTATAAAACCAATATAAATGTTATTCTTCCAAAGACTGAATTCATATTGTGTATGTGTGTAAATAATATAAAGGCCTAGCTTTAAGCTGTAAAACATCAACAACACCTAATCCAAAGAAATATAGTTCATTCAAATAGCATTAAAAAATTTACAAAATGCAGTTAAAGAACAATTAAATAAATAAATAAATAAACAGGAAATTACATTTTATTAATTTTGCGGTTCCATGTACAAAAAATTGTCATTAGTTAATTTTCTTTTTTGTGTTTTGTAATTCGCTCGATTTGGATATAGAAGCCGCTTAAACACCTTTTGTAGCCCAATTCCAATAGCAACCAATTTAAGCCTTTAATGAAAATCAGAACTGTTTGACAAAGAGGACAACAAAAAATTGGTATTGTTAATTATAAGCCTGCAGCAACTTTGTTATGCGACTAACTAAACCACATAAATATTTATAAAGCTATTAACATTAAATGGATAACAAACAAAAAAAAAAGATTCAAGCAAAACCAAAACAAGCGAAAATCCACAATTAAGAGGTAAGAAAGCGCTCGACTTGCAGATGCCCTGTACTCAGATATACATTAGATTTCAGTTATGATATTACTGCATTGAAATATTGAAAACTTTTTAGCTTGTTCGCATCTTTAACTAAATGAGCAATAAAACTGTTAGACAAACATTCGTTCTTAATCCATTTCAAACCTTTAAGCCTCACCCTTACTTACATCAGATGCCGGGTACAGGGTATAGCAAAAACAAATTTGTAAACAGAAGAAAGAAGAGGATGAGAATCACACTGCTAGTAGTTAAAAATTCAATTAGACAGTGAGTGTTAAGCGCGCATAATATATGAATAAACAATATAAAATGTTCAGTTTTTAATTTTAAGTAATAGTGAAAATGTCGAAAATGTAATTAAAAATGAAATTGAGTTGCGAAAATGCGCTATAAAGCAGCTCATTAAAATGAAGTAGCGCGAAAATTACAACAATTAAATTTGCGTGCATGTGGAAAATAATTGTAAATTAAATAAAAACAAACAGAAAATGGCAAAGGAAACGCAAAAAGCAAAAAAACAAAAAAACAAAAAACGAAAGACAAACATATTTAGAGACAGTAAAAACAAATGATATAGTAAATGAAATGAATATGTAAAACTCTATAGCTCTATAGCTTATGTGTATGCGTATATAGTATATATAGTGTAACTGTAATGGTGTAAAACTAGCAAATATATATACCTAGCAAACCAAAAGAAATACAAAACAAAATAAGTAAAATTAAACAAAATATATATGCATATTTATAGTGTGCTGCATAATTGAACTGGAGAAGAAAACAAGAAAACAAAAAATGATATATTTAATACATAAATTAATTCAAATTTATTGCATTAGAAATGTGTACGAGTGAAAAAGTGCGAAAAAGTTCACTAAAGTCTCAAAAACAAAGCAAAACAAAAATAGAACAAATTTAAAACTAAATAAAACAAACTGTTAAAAAAAAACTGTTCAAACGGTTTTTGATAAAAAAAATAAATAAACATTTCAGATGGAAACCAAAACAATTTGAGTACTAATAAAGTTATAAAAATGTAAAAAAAAAAAATCTAGAAATTATTTTTTTATTTAGAAAACTCCATTGAATGCGCTTTAAAGCATAAAGGGAACAGGGCTTTAAGATACTTCGGGAAATATGCTGGCAATGCAAAAAATAACAAGTTCGGAAATGCTTGCGTAAATAAATGGCTATAACGAGGACTTTAAGAGGCAGTTAAGGCGTCGGATCAATGGCTGACGATGAATGTGTATGTGTGTGCTTATATATAACAAATATAGCTTCACACACATACATAGAGACACTCGCATGCAGCTGTTAACCAAATATGCTGATGGTCTGGCAACTACATAAAAGAGCTCCAAGTCCTATAATGCTTCCATTGATACGTAAAGGCAGCGAACGATAGATAAAAGCTGCACACACACACACACACACACCCAAACAGCACACATACACATAGCACACACGCTATTCACATACCGAAATAAAAAACGAAGAGAAACCATTGAAAATAGATTTATTATGCAAATTTGCCAAAGCATAAGTGAATACATGCCAGACGACTCGCTCAAATATACCCAGTAATCAATAAAAATATGTGCGGAGAGTGTGGCATAGACTAGCAGTTAGCCATGGAGCAGATGGAAACTGGTAAGGCACCTAATGAATTGGATTTATTGCATATGTTTCAGTTTTATTATCTATTTATTTATTCCCTCTTTGTAAAATTATAACTTTTTTATTTTTATTGTTAATAATGTCTATTAAGCCATATAAGCTAAAATTATAATTTATTGTGAATAAATAATGAATTCTAATGTCTTTAGACTAGCCAACAATTCGATAGCTTCCAGGGTATTTCTATTGCCACTATTATTCTATGCGAGGATTGTTTTATGGCTTGCATGGTGCAAGGCTTAACTGCTTAATTTGTGAAAACAAAAAAAAGAGATATATATATATGTATGTATGCATATATATTGAAGAAGGGCGTGGCTTTGGTCTATTCTAAATGTTTGCCCTTGCCAAACTGAGAGCCATGGCAAAGGGAATGGCTTGGAGCTGGCTCAGACTGAAAGTATGGACTATGTAAAGCTTGCATAATTCACATGCGTAATTGAATAAAAACATTTTGGCTAAATTGCTGCCAACATCGTTAGCCGCTTTCTAACCATTTTCTTTTTAGCTCAAGATTTGCGTGATTTTTATTAGTTGCGATTCGCAGCTAGGATAAATCCAATAAGGAAAGTACGCACACACACACACACACACACACACACACACTCACATACGTGGGGAAATGTCAAGGAAGCATGGAGCAGGCACTGGGCCAAAGAACTTGGCACATAATCCCTTTAAATGTCTACTTCGGGCTAGAGCTGGAGCTGGAGCAGGAGCTGGAGCTGGAACAAGGGGAAGGAAGGGTTTTGATTTCAACAAAAGTTTCGCATTTTATTTTTGTAGTTTTTGCATGTGCTGTGTTTCGATACTATTGCAGAGCAAGTAGAGGAGCAGGAGCCGGTGCCGAATAAGGAACATGCTCGCAATGGGCGTGGCATGCTGTGAGTGGGCGGCTGGCTGCCACATGCTGTGCTTAATTTATTAGCACAAGCTTGAAAATTAAATAATAAAAGCCCCTGCAAGTGGCTCTGTGTGAATAGAAATTATCACTTTTAATGTTGCCAAAAAGGTCACGACTCAACAGTGCCTCGCCCGGCCGAGGGCGGGCCAGGGGCAGCTCAGCTGGGCGTGGCGCCAAGCACTGGGTAACGCTCAGCGCTAAAAGTTGGTAATTTATGTTGCCAAATCTGTTGGAAATTGCTTTATACGCTAATAAAAGTATTTGCAAAACAAACAAGTCCATTTAAGGTGAGTGAGCGCTAGGCACAGCCAAAATAAATAACATGTTGCCTCCTGCTCCGGCCTGCTCTAGTATATAATCTGAAGTAATCTATTCAAGCACATACAAGAGAATAAATCCCATTAGAAATAATGTGAATGTGAATTTCATACATTACTTAAGAGCTTCAAATTAATTTAGAATGCACCGACAAGGAAATATACATAATTTAGTTTCTAATAGATCTACAAACTCATAAGAAACTGTGTACATATATAGTGTATTGAGAATGTATGTATGTATGTATGTTAGTTCCAATAAGAATGAGAGAGTTTAGAATTGTTGTTAGCTATCGATACTTAACTGTAAGGCTATCGATAGCCTATAGCTAAAGACAATCAACACTCAAGAAGAATGTCACCAAACGAAGAAGAAGAAGAGAATTCCATTCGAAGAGGAAACGAAGACGCTAGCAGCGGTGCAAGCTTTCACAATTTACAGTAGATTCTAAAATATATTACAGACAATGCAATATGTTTTGCAAGGATCAGTTTATGTAAACATATCTATACTTTTATATCTTACAATGCCATTAATAATGACGAATTATCATGACACGATCTGTATACGCATCATTCAATGACACGTTCTCTCTGAACTTAATTTCTACATTTACAAGGAACAGTAAAAGGCTATAGTGCCATTTCTGCTGGCTGTAAACATATTATAATCAACTTTACCATTTTCCATAAAAGGAACTATAAAATATACCTACCTTAGGTCAATGGGATACAATCTAAATCACTTTTAAATGCTTACAATGAACCTGAAAATCTTACGTATAGGCTCCGTTGCATCATTTCGTAAGGGAACTTTAAACCACCCCAAACAATTATCACATATGTATATGTTTCAACTTATGTACAAGCAACTATAAAGTGTAAGCAATAAAATATTACATGCTGAGCTTAGTATGCTCTATCATGCTTTGCTACCCAAAATTTTTCTCCATAATCCATCAAACATCTTGACTTTTGTCGGCATCACACAGTTAGGGTATTTAGCAATTACCCTGCTTAAGCTTAGCATTACTTTCTTTGTTGTTAGCAAGCATAAAGAAAACGGAAGCAAAATGAGAAGTGCAGAAAAAGTATATCAAGCTAAACTCCATTGCAACGAGTTTTGTCCAGTTAAAAAGTTTTTAGCGCATTTCGTTTTATTGCACATCAGCGATAATCCAAACCAAAATTGAGTGCACAGTTCCGCAGAAGAAATCCAATTTGAAGCCAGAGTACGAAAAAATATAAAACACGCCCGAAAATTCCACGCAGAAAATTTGATGCTGCAAAAACGTAGCAGAAATTTAAAAATTCCGCACAATTTGCACAACTTTCCGCTCGGGGGTGCTGCATACAAAAAAAAGAGATCGAAAAAAAGAACTAGATGTAACATATAAAAAAGTTTAATAGAACTCCTGGCGTTGAATCGTAAGCGGAATAAAAAAAGACCGTTTTACACATTAAACCACTTTGACCGACAAACTTTATTTCCAGCAATTAGTTTGTATTATTTTTTCCAGCTCCCTTTTGCCAATACATTTACTTTTTATCTCCGTTAGATTTATTTGCAGTGTTTTGCAACTTTTTAAATATTTATATACACGCTTTTTGCTACAGGTCCGTCAGGTGCTCTTCGCTTCGCCAAGAACTGAAAGCGATGCGATTTCGTGCTCTGCGCTCTCTAAATGCCACACAAAGTTTTATTAGTTGTTGACCAATATCCATCTCCCGCTGCTCAATAAAAGGAATTATAAAATAAAACCGAATCGCTCGCAAAAACAACCTTCGTGAATTGTCTTGTCTCACTTTTGCAATACTTTTGCCATACAACAGCTGCATGTTTATGACTCTGATCCGCCCACAGCTCATCCACAAATAGTTGCAAGAAAGTTTTCTATATGCATCGAGTGTATGTACGTACATATGTAACTCAAATGCAAAAAGCTTACACAGCCAATTACCAAATACACAAAAACAAGCGTTTCGGACTTGTGGTAAATCATTTAATATACCCTATTGGATGCATCGATGTAAATGGAAAGTTTTTATTGAAACACTTGGAGCAAAAACTACGCAAATATATAAAAATACTATTATCATGAATTTAAAAGTGTCCCAAAAGCTTTTACAACAGCGACTAGCTTAAAATGTTATGTGAACTATGTAATTAATTTTGTTAATGGAGTGGAGACCTCGAGATAATTACAATAAAACATTGTAGGGTTCGATTTTCGATTGATAAATGGAATTAATAAATTCCTGCTGGGCTTACATCAAAATTAAAGGCTGGCCTTAGTTTCTTAAGGTAGAAGAGGAACCCATGTTATCAACAGCGGATAACGCTGTTAATAGTACAGTCTGTCAATGTTGTGGCAAGAGCAATTGCTGTTAATATATTCTGGCAATCCTCTCTATGAATGTATGTAAAACTGCTCAATGTACCAATGTATTACCCCTAATTAATCAATATGGAGAAGTGTTGAGCAACATATGATGCCAGAATTGACCCGACTATCTATGTCTTTGCAGAAGTTAATCAAATGAAATGTGAGCAGAGTGCAATCAAAGAGATTCAAAAAGCTGCCCCAATATGTATGCCAGCTCTCAAAGTAGAAAGCGGCAACTTAATCAATATTTTCAAGATATTCTTTGACAGAAATACAACTGGCAGCCATAACCGAACCCATTTATTTGGACATGGCAAACGCATTACAGAGCCATACAAAGTTTTAGAGCAGAGGACATGGCCATAATCCAAGCAAGCAAAACCGAATTATAAATGAGAGCCGGATGGCATCCACTCGTAACTCTCAGGAATGGGAGTTGATTGCGCAAAATGTGAAACTCTGTCATGACTGGGTCATTGAGATGAACCTGGGTGCTGCATTCGATTGCTGTCATTGGCTTTGACTGCCCCGACAAGTGTCGCATGTTGTGCTATCTAATGTTAAGCTACTTTTCATGTACCAGCCATAATACAAGCCACCCCCTCTCTTCCACACAGAGCTCCCCGTCCACAGCCCACAAGGAAAGCGAAATCAGGCGACTGCTGTGCAGCAGCAGCAGCAGCAGCTCGACTCAGTTCTCCAGAGCTTTCAACGACCGTTAAGCAACGCAATTATTCATGTTTATGATGCGATGAAGTTGTGCATAAGCTTAGCCCCCATCCTGTCCTCCACGACCCCCCACCCTCCCCCACACACTCTTACCTTTGGCCGGTGCACTTTTCCCTCGACTTGCTTTGCTCGATAATCAGGCACCGCACAGATTGGCTGCGCTTGAAGCTTGGCATCTGTGACCGCTGAGCTAACTGTTTGCACTCGGTTACCGTATTGGACGGGTTTAAATTATAATCAGTGCCCGAATACAAATAGCTTTCTGTCATTGCAGCTGCAGACCCTAGCGGTTGCTCTGATTAAAAACCAAAAATAAACTTTAAAAGGTCCATGGAATGAGAGGTGCACGTACTTCAAATACTGCATGATTTTCGATTTATTGCTGAGAATATACATACATATCTTGTGTGACGATAGCCGATAGGTGAATCGATCGATAGGTCATCAACAGCTCACTTTTTTGCTGTCTTATTAAGCGTTGTCAATATGACCACTGGTCAGTGATATGACTATTATTCCTCTAGTTTTTGAATTTCACAAGGATATAGGCTAACTCTAATCGCAATCGATGCAGCTTTACTTTTCCTCCAGGAGAATAGCTGAATTGCATTTCGAAATTTATATTTATGTATTTTTGTATAGGCTCACTAAAATTTATTTGTATACGTACAAAATTCAGCCAAAATATTCGAAAATAAAAACTTTTCGAAATTCCCGCTAACCCTAATCTTTCTATTTCTACCTCAATCGTTTTTTATGAATATGCTAGATCTGGCCGAAACTAAGCCAAAGCGGCAACACTGCACACGCTCTCACGAGAACGAAAAAATCGTTCCGGGCAAAACTCTTCGGTTCTTTTCGTGTCTTTGTTCTTTGTTGAACTATTCGTTTGACGCTCTTTTAACATCATTCCCAGGGAGTATGATCACTGGTTAGTCATCAGAGCTAGTGGTACGATTGAATTTCACACGATATTCTACAAGTGCGCTCTGTTTGCGTAAAAGAAAACTAACGGAAAAAATTAAGGAACTTCTACAGCACACGATATTATTAAAATTATAAAGCTCAACAAGTTTACTTGTGCAGCTCAACTTCAGATGTTTATTGTAAAAGCCGATGCCAATGCCTGAAATTTAATGTCTACAAATGATATTATAATTAGCTACAAGAGACAAAAACACACATCAACATTTGATTATGGCACTAAGCGCATCTTTGGGTTGTTAGGGCATTAGGGACATACCCCAGGAAACTTAACATGCAACGACAAGAAACTGCAATTAGAGAGCAAACATTTTAATTAGCTCAATAACTAGTTGATAGGTGAAGAGCATGAAAGGGGAGAGGCTTTCAAATTCAATTTGTTTGTATATATATATATATGTATGCATGTATGAATTTCTTACAATTGCATTGAAACAGAGATGAATAAGAGAGAAATAGAGATAAATATGATGAGAGTGTAATAAACAAATAGTATTTATTTATAAATTCCTCAACATTTTTATAAAATCTTATATTTCATATAGTTAATTGCCGAAGAGCTGGAATTTAATAAACTACTGTCGCTTACATAAAAATGTATGCTAAATATAACACAAATACACCCATATACATACCTCATTTCGAAATAGATCATAAAAATACTTAAGAACAAATTTGCAGGTTTAATGGAAAAAGTTTTGATGCGTGGCAAAGGCGGCTAATTCTATTGTCATTAGCCAAAGTATGGCCATCCAAATCGTGCATACTATATAGCATCTGTATATGTACATACATATACATATATATATATATATATATATATAATGCCAAAGTAAGGTAATGCACATAATTGAATTTTCATGCAACTAAAACGCCTACACAGAGGAAGAGCGAGAGCCAAATGCCTTTGTTACTAGATAAAAAAAAAAAGAAATGAAAGAAAAGCGAGCGCGGCTCGGTAAAATTAAAGTGAAATTGAAAAAGTTTTATGAGCTTTTCCGGAGCGCCAAGCGTAGAGCTGCGAGCGGCATGCGGCATGTGGCAGGCAATGAAAGAAAAATATTACACAGCCGCCGCCGACGCGTAAAGAAGACAAAGGCGTCGCCCGACGATTTGCCGCTGTTCCAATCCTTGTTCTTTATGTTGTTTTGTGGCTCAGGTTGTTGTTGTCTCTTTTGTTGGCGCCGCCGCCACTAAATTGCCTTCCCGTGCCAGGACCTACCGCCGCCTCGAAACTTTGTGCAGCAGGTTGCTTAGGTAACACAGTTTTATGTAGTTATCCTTGACGCCAACGTCATCAGCTCTTGTAATTGCATAATAATTGCAGCGACTGCAACGGCGACGTCGACGGCGGTCCTCTGAACGGCAGCGGCACTCGCTTAAGCTAATTTTCCCATAGAATTACTTTGGATGAGTTTGGTAATTAATGGCAGCAAGCAGCAGGAGACAGCAACAGCTCCGCCCCACCAACTTCTTTTGATGAATAACTCACGAATTGATGAGAAGACAGCACAAGCTTTTGGTAAAAGCACATTAATATTTAAATATAAATAAAAAACATATATAATTTATTTAATTGTTACAAAAGATTACTTATAAATACTTAGTTTGAGAGCAGAGTAACAAAGACCCTCCCTCAAGCAGATATATGTATATATAATTAATAATTTATATGTATATGAAAAAAATACATATAATGTGGAAAATAAATGTAGAAATAGCCAAACTTAAATAAAATATTTTTTTAAAAGCAGTGTACATACATATTTCATATTTATTGATTATATATACATATATATATATACATATATACATAGTTAAATAATAACAGTAATACAAGTTTGTAGTATTCAGATTCAAATGTCACAAACATGCAAAATTACAATTAATAGTTTATATTGATTATTATACAAATATGTAGCTCTAAAGAAATATATGTATTTTTTAAAATACAGAATATATGTCACATGTTATATTATGTAAACAAATTTTACATAATTTATAATTCAAAGGAAAATTTTTATACTTAAGCGTCTTAAAACTTAAATGTTTGATTTATCTGATTTAATTGATGGAGAATTACACTTTGGAGCGATTTTTGGCGAGCTGAAATAAGCAAAAATGCCTGGGGCTACAGCAAAACATGTGTCTGCAATTATTCCTTTAGTTTTGTATGTCTTAGTTTAGTCTATATTAAATTGTTAAAGGAGATTTCTCTGGAGTTGTCAAATGGCTTTTCTGAGAATTGAATTTTTTTAAAGACATGCCTCAGCATTTAGATAATATTATAATTTATTTGGTTATGTATTGTTAATGAATATCCTCTATTATCCTTTATAAATTCCATCGCATACATATCTCAAGGCTCTTCAGCTCAGATTTTTTTGTTTATGTACTCTTCCTCTGTCGACAAAAGTTGTGCAAATTTAATTGCGAAAATTCTGCTTGTTCAAGAAATATTTGCATACTTTATTTGGGGGCGGGATGGGGGGTGAGTGACGTCCCTTTCCAAATAGCGCATTACTTCTTATATTTCGGTTGCAACTTGCCATTGCTGTTGTGCGTGTTGTTGCATGTTGGTTGTGTCATATGCAGCCAAATTATTTGCGCAGCATCGCAAAGCAATTTTTCTTGTAAATGTAAATTCTTGCAGCTTTGGAATTCGGTTCGCTCTGAATTGTGTTGCATTTGCAATTTAAAGTTTTCGCACGAGCAGCGAACGGTCAAAGGGGCGGGGCGACGGGGGCGGCCTGTCTGAAAAAGTCCCTTTGAGTTGGCGCAAAATTGGGCGAGTGCAGCGAGAGTTTTGTTTGGCCTTATCTGCTTACAGTAGCTGGCCACGCCCACACGCCTCTAACGACAACTAAAATACATTCGGGGTAGCCATATATACATATATATCCATGTGTATATAAATCTACATTTCTTCTGCCACTGGCAAAACTGTCCAAAAAGTGTCAAATCCTTTTGCATACATCCTTTTGGCCTACAGCCACAGAGCTGGAGCTGGAGCTAAGGCTGGGGCTGGAGCTGGTCATGTGCCCAGCTGTTGTCCTTACTGGCAAACTGAAGATCAACTAGAAACTATTGAGTCGCTGCCTGAGTGTCCTTGCCAGGACTGCCGCTGCAGCTGCTGCTGCGGTTTATTTGCATCAAGTCGCTCCACGTGGCAGCTCTCCTTAAGCCCATGCCGCCGCGCCACGTCTCTACGTGTCCCTCAAGTATTTTCCAAGCAAATACTGCACGAAATTGCTTTATTTGCCTGTTAGCTGCAAGTTGGCTCAAGTGGCCAAGGCAAAAAGAAAAAAAAGAATGAAAAGGAAAACATAAAAAACATAAAATAAAATAAAAGGACGAACTAAGCGTGCTAAATGTCAAGCAAGCAGCTTTTTTGTGTGTCCTTTCTGTCGAGGCAAGATTGACACTGCTTTAAGTCCAAATAAATCGTTCTTCCATTCCTACATCTATTCAGACAAGTTCACGAATTATTAAACAAAAAATGCGCTTCCAGTTCAAATTCCGTTGTTGGGCTTAGCTAAAAATATTAAGAGAAAAAAAATGTTAATATTAATAAAGGTAGCAATACAAATACAAACCTCAATTATTTTTTGCTATAGTTAGGTGATTTATGTTCCACAACTCGAGCTATCACTCCTTTCCCTCCAGCGAGTTCTCATGTACATATTCGCTTACTTTCAGCTCCGCCGCCGTTAAACCTGCTTACCCGGGAGAAGGTAGTTTATTCTTTGAAGAGGCAGCTCTAAACGTAGGCACTCGGCTCAGTCAGTAACTCTCTGAGATATCATCCGCATCACCAATTCCAGCTTTATGCAATCATTTACAGCTTCAGAATGTTGTAGGTGTAATCCCATCTGTGCAAATCCTCCTCCTCCTCCGAAATAATCCAAAGCAAGAGTCAGTTCCAAACCAAGCTCAATGGCAGATCAAATAAAATGGCAATGATAATGAAAAAGTTAATGATAATAATTATAGTAATAGAAAAATATTAATGCTATTCTTACTCAAACAAGCTTTCGAAATTGATGTATTATTAAGCACAATATTTGATTTCAAAGATATAATTTAATGAATCGGTCCGTAGCGTAGTTCCTTTACAGTCGCCATTAGATCAAAGCCAACAACACTTATTGCATGTATAGGCTGGCTTAATGCACAAAAACGAAAGCGCAGTCTATAAATGCAATAAATATTGTATAACCATTTGAGGGGACTCTTTTCACACATCGTTCACTAAATATTCCGGTAGTTTGAATGCTGGCTGCTGGGCATTTGTAGATTTAAGCGTTTGTTGGGTTTAATCAACTGTA